TTTTAAAGATAATGCACGAGCAGATCCGTTCCCTTACTAGTGATGTGTTTAGATTTTCTGCTTAAAATCCACCATGTCAATAACAAATACACTAATGACATGGCTGCAACCAGCTCCTAAAGGAAATGGGAGATTTTAGATCACCCTTTAAGATCATGTGCCGGGTGTGACAACCATTTTTCCCATGCTTAAAATATCAAAATAAAAAAAGTCTGTAAAAAATATTTTTCAAAACCATTAAGCTTTATTTTCAAATTCACTTAACATTAAGAAAGGCTAATTAACCTCTTCAGACCTGAAAATTCAGAAAAATGGGATGTCATGTGATGTCCATTGTAATAGACGCAGGGTCTGAAGGGGTTAACACAAGTCCAACCAATATTATGACATTTTAAAATTTGAAGTCAAGTTTGACTCAACAAACAAATAACAACTCAGGTAAAATTTAAAGAAATAAGTTGAGTCGATGTAACAACAAATGTTGGCTTAGTAGATGCTTGATTTTAATTTTAAAGTGTGAAACATTTTTATCACATTTTTTCTTAAGTGAAACTAAACTTTTATTTTGAAAGTTTCTTTTGACGATCTTTAAGATTCTGTGTTCACATTATATATATATAGCTGAAGTCAGATTTATTAGCCCCCCTGAATTATTAGACCGCTTGTTAATTTTTCCCCTTATTTCTGTTTAACGGAGAGATTTTTTCCATCACATTTCTAATCATAATTAGTTTTAATAACTCATCTGTAATAACTGATTTAATTTTTCTTTGCCATGATGACAGTAAATAATATTTTACAAGGCGTAGATATTTTTCAAGACTCTTCTATACAGCTTAAAGCAGGGGTGGAGACCAACCTCCGGGCCTTATGCGGCCCGCCAGGCCATTTGATCCGGCCCCATCCGTCAATTCAAAATCAGCCCTCAGGAAAGAAAAAAATAATACATTTATGTTATAGAAAGTGACAGTTGTACACATGTGTTGCTCTACAAAGCTTAGTTTCACATGAAATTGACTAATGCTGTAATGTAACGTTTGCAGCACAGGATGTGCATCATTCATTGATGTACGTTCGAATCAGTCATATTTTTAATAGCGCGAATGACACCGCATGGCATGCTTCTGTGTGTGTGAGCGCGGTTATGCCTAGTTCAGACTGCGTGATTTTAACCCCGATTTTGGCTCGCCGACAGGTTTTGAGAAATCGCCGACAAATGCCTGAAATCATGCAGTCTGAACTCGGCATAAGATGTGTGTGCTTGCTCGTCTCCGAGGCTAATGCCGAGTTCAGACTGCATGATTTTCAAACTAGTCGTGTCACAGATGTTTTCACACTGCATGACTATCTGGGCTAGTGTTTCGTCGCTGCTTTGTTTACACTGCAAGATGGTTCGGCAACATGGACATTCACATTGCATGACTTTACAATAGGGAGAATCGCCGACAACTTCGTCCAAACTACATCTCACAGCCAAAAACATGTAGTATATCTTTTGTTATTAACTACATAATGAGAAAGAAGCCTTTAATGGGGTAGAACATGTACATGTTGGCTCACCTGGGTTTAAAGGGAATTAGCCATTTCTCCTCAACGTTGATAATAAACTAATTTCTTTCTGTATGAAACGTCAAACAGACACAGTTGCTCCTGAGTCCTGTCAAACCTCCACTAGTTTTTCCTCCATTTCGTGGGTCCAAATAAACCGAAAAAGATCGCTTTTAACTTCTCCCCCAGCCTCCCGCTGGCCTGCAGCAGTTATACACACACGCACACACAAGTGAAAGCTGCTCTCTCATTGGCTGTAGGCGATCGCTGATGTTATTTTTAGTCAAAACTCAATTCACACGGCATGATTTGAATCGCCGACAGCTCCAGATATTTAACATGCCAAATATCTCACAGGCATCGGCGACTCATCGGCGATTCTCTCAGATCGCGTCTTGGATCGTTCATACTGTGTGATTGTCACTCACGTGCATGAGCAGCGATTTGCCTGTGATTTCAGGCATTTGTCGGCGATTTCTCAAAACCTGTCGGTGAGCCAAAATCGGGGTTAAAATCACGCAGTCTGAACTAGGCATTACGGCATATTAATGCGAGCAATTTAATGCATAAATACATGCACATTTGTGTTAGAGTGCTGTGTTTAGTGATTATTCATAGTTTGTGTAATAAACAAACAAGTTGAGAATCAAAAAGCATGTGAAAGAGAAACTATATCAGAGCCGCACTATTCTTAAAGGGACAGTGTGCACTATTCCTGCTGCCGACTGTTTTTATTAACAATCAAACAACAAAAGGACAAAATCCCTTACAGCTCTTGACTGAAGGACTTTTGTAGTTGATGTTTTTCTTACAGTGAAGATCCTTAAAGCACAGTTTGTTTCATATTTTTATTCTATTGTATTTATTTCCCTTTCCTTATTTACAGAGGAAAATAACTGTATATACTGTATTAAGTTAAAAATCAGGTTTATTTTCCCACCTGAATTATTAGCGACCCTTTCCCCCTAAGATCTGTTTCATAGAAAGATTTATTTTCAACCATGTTTTAAACACAACTGATTTAATAACTCATTTCTAATAACTGAATTCTTTTATCTTTGCTTTGATGACAGTACATTATATTTTACTAGATAGTTTTCAAGATACTAGTGTTCAGATTAAAGTGATATTTAATGGCTTAATTAGTATAATTAGGCAAGTCATTATATAACAGTAATTTCTTCTACAGACAATCAAAAATATATTCAAGCGGGGGCTAATAATATTGACCTTAAAATAGGTTTCAAAATATTAAAAACTGCTTTTATTCTAGCCAAAGTAAAAAAAAATTTTTTATTTAGTATTAAAAATGATAGGAAATACTGTGAAAAATTGCTCTGTGAAACATCATTTGGGAATTATTTATATATATAAAAAACTAATTCAAAGAAGGGTGAATAATTTTGACTACAACTAATAATCCTTTTGAATAATCGTGATTTAAATTATGACCAAAATAATTGTGATTATGATTTTTCCCATAATCGAGCAGCCCTATAAATTAGTATGGCCCCTAAACAATGTTACAAAAATGTAAATAGCCCTTGATAAAAAAAGGTTCCCCACCCCTGGGTTAAAGTGACATTTAACTAGGTCAATTAGGTTAACTAGGCAGGTTAGGGTAATTAGGCAAGTTATTCTATAATGATGGTTTGTTCTGTAAGCTATAGAAAAAAATAACTTAAAGGGGCTAATAATTTTGTATTTATATATACAGTTGAAGTCAGAATTGTTAGCCCTCCTGAATTATTAGCCCCCCTGTTAATTTTTTTTCCCCATTTTCTGTTTAACAGAGAGCAATTTTTTTTCAACACATTTCTAGTTTTAATACAGCACAATAGTTTTAATAACTAATTTCTAATAACTGATTTATTTTTTCTTTGCCATGATGACAGTAAATAATATTTGACTAGAAAATTTTCAAGATACTTCTATACAGTTTAAAGTGACATTTAAAGGCTTGACTAGGTAAATTTTATTTAACAGGTTATGGTAATTAGGCAAGTTATTGTATAATGATGGTTTGCTCTGTAGACTATCGGGAAAAATAGCCTAAAGGGGCAAATAATTTTGTCCTTGTGTGTGTGTGTGTGTATATATGCACACACACACACACACACACACACACACACACAAAGTGGGGGTATATACTGTATATATTAGAGCTGTTAGCACATTAACGCATGAAGTTAATTTGAAATATTTAATGAGTAAAAAAAAAATGTACACAATTAACGCAGATCCAGTGTGTATATATATATGTTTTTTTTTTGGTCAGTGAGTCTATCCATTTTTCCTCATTTTTTTCCTCAATAAAATTATAAGGCCCAATATATGGACTAAAACATTTAATGTACATTTTTCACATCTATTAATGTGAGCAGTAGATGTAGGTGTGTGTTTACACCTGTTATGACTGACAGTTTAATTAGAATGTGATACTACAGATGGCTGGAAAAATATGCAAAATACTAGATCAAGCTTAGTGGTGGACTGATATAACTGACTGTCAGCTTTCAATAGAAAAAGATTTTAGTACATTGGCTTATTACATTAAGTATTATTATTACATTAACAAATTTGCTTATTAAAATGTTTTTGAAAGAAGTTTTTTTCATGCCCACCAAATTGGCATACATTTAATCAAAAATACCGTAAAACAGGAACAGAGTGTCCGCGGGGTCTTAATTTTTTTTTTTTAAATGTCTTTGATTTAAAATAAAAAAATTTAGTCCTCAAAACTCTTAAATTCACTAAAAGAATCTCTTGAGTGTCGTTTTAAATGGGTCTTAATTTTGCCATGTTCATGTAAATTCATTTATATTTTGTTTATTATATCTTTTTTTAATTTAGCTTGTTTTGACACATTATTTAAAATGTGGCCAACAAATACCTTTTTTGATAGAGCAAGTAAAAGTCTTTTCTGCTGACCCAACCAGGCCATTACAGCAAAATCCTTAGCATTTAGCCCTGTTTAAATCTGAAATTTCATTCTTAAAAAGGTCTTGAAAACCCTTCTGTAATATTTAAAAAATCTTTTAAATATCTATACATTGCGTAATAAACACAATGCCACCTACAGTAGATGATCATTATGTTTGTGATAGTTCAACAGCTGTTATTCCTCATTAATTATTTTAAACATTTACAGAAATGTATACTATTTTTTATCTAGTGAGCTATAATAAAATGCTACTTATGGTATATAACAAAGCATTGTGTTTTTATTTTTTGCTGAATTCACCACATTGCATGGAGCAAAAATAGACTGGGTGTAGAAACTCTTCTGCAGCTCTGCTTCTGCTGTGCTGCTCCTGCTTTTGTGGGCTGTGTTAATTCTGTATCCTGTCAATATGGGTGCTGAAATAAACTGAAGCAGACTGACTGTAGGTGCAGTATGAGATGTGAGTCAGCTGAATGAACTAGACAGACTCTCTCTTCTGTTTGTGCAGATCGAGGACATCATCACACGCCTCCAAGATGAGGCTGAAGGAGTGCCTGTCAGAACCGTCAAGAGCTTCCTCACCAAGATTCCTAATGTGGTTACAGGTAAACTAGCAATAATATTCTTCTGTCTGTCTGACCGTTTGTCTATATACAGTTAAAGATTTATTAGCCCTCCTGAATTATTACCCCTCCCTCATGGTATAACAGTGGTTTGTTTTCTAGACTACTGGTTACCAAAGTGGGGGTCGGAACCCCCTGGTGGGTCACGGAACAGTGACGGGGTCCCTAGGTGATTTTCAAAAGTCAAATAAATTTTAATAAACTATTAGAATTACCATATTTTATTTATAATTCACAGAAGATAAAAATAGTTAATTGCTACTTAAAAAAACAACTACATGCAAATGAAAAGCCATCAGCCTTTCAATAATTTTTTTTTATATAGGATTGGTGTGTTTACGTTAGATTAACAGCATAGCAATAATGTCAGCTGCAGCAAACTGATTTTATAGCACAATTTTAAACTTTCTGACCCCTTTACGGCAATCAAATACATTAAAAATAAATATACAGCCAACAGCTGAACATGGAGGATAATAAGAGTGGCGGTCTCCAAAATCAAACCAAGAATAGACTTTAGGTCTATTCTTAGGCTAAAAACATTGTGCCCACCAGTTTCTTTAGGTGAAGTAAATGTTGAATTAAACTAATTAATAAATGACTGTAACAAATTAAATGATTGTTAGACTGTTGCACTTTTTTGTGTTGTCAATATGCTCTTGTTTATGTAGGCCTATTGTTGTGTGCGCAACGTTTGTATATTTATAACCACCTCCAAGAAATGTGGGGGTTGCGAGTCACTGGCATTGTTATTTTGGGGGTCGCGGGCTAAAAAGTTTGGTAACCTCTGCTCTAGACAATCAAAAAAAAAAGTTGCTTAAGGGAGCTGATAATATTGACCTTAAAAAAATGATAACTGCTTTTATTCTAGCCAAAATAAAGCAAATAGGATTTTCTCTAGTAAAAAAAATATTATAGGAAATACTTTGAAAAATTTCTTGCTCTATTAAACATAATTTGGAAAAGATTTGAAAAAGAAATTAATAATAATTTTGACTCTAATTTTGACTCTTCCTGTCTGCCTTCCTTGTTGAACATCAGTTTCTTTCTCTCAGCTTTTTGTGGTTTTATGATTCATTTATTGTATAAGCAGATTGTTTGATAAGAATTTCAGAATAGACTTCATCTGAGTGAATGTACATGATTTTAACGAAAGTGTATTTCAAAGAGTTCTAATAATCTGAGCTGAAGTAAAACTTTATAATGAGGGAAAAGTTACTGAGTGCACCATTAAAAATAGCAGTTTGCTTTTTAAAATTAATGATGGTTTTATAATGTTCTTCACATTTTTACAGCACTGTCAGTGCCAATAAAATATGTACACAGTTATGCTTATTTAGTATTAACCGTGGCATTCCTAGATAAGAGGGTTGGGTTTATTTTTAATCTGGTAACAGTCTGGATCCACATGCCCCTGTGGTCTCCACATTAAGTTTCTCAGCTTCCTTTAGTATATGATAATGAATGCTGGGAGAGCAGTTATTTGTCCTTAAACGCCCTCAAAGAGAATAAACCTGAAGATATGGCTCGATCTGCTCACATCGCTAAACACAATTACTACATCGAGTAGCTCTAAATGGATGCCCGCAGGCCCATATCCGGATAACTAATAGCTGATCTGGAACTAAAGCGCTGATGTTGTACATGATTGAGGTGGTGCTAATGTAGATTTAGCTTGACTGATCTGACACACATTGAATGTTAAACCGTAATACAATGATGAGTTTAAGAAATGAATGCAATTTGCATAAGAAAATAAAATGTCTATAATTATTATTATTGTTGTTGTGGTTCTTGTTACTATTATTATTATTATTATTATTATTATTATTATTATTATTATTATTATTATTATTATTATTAATATAATTGTTGTTGTT